ATGCCAAACTTCTCAAACTTCCGGATCCTGACAAGCCATTTGTTGTGACTATAGACGCCAGCCAATACGACATACGCGCGGTCCTTCCGCAACAGGATGGGCCAAAGTTGAGACCGGTCGAGTACATGAGCAAGAAAATGCCATCTCAAAAGTTAGTTAAGGCCACGTACTACAGAGAGCTCTACGCCCTATACAGAGCGCTAGTTCATTGGAGACACTACGGCCACTACCTGCTAGGTAAATTTTTATACTTCAGATCTGATCATGAAACTTTGCGCCGGATCAAGACACGACCCGTACTTTCTGACGCACTCAAACGAAGGATACAAGTTATAGACATGCATGACTATAAACTTCATCCTATCAAGGGTACGTACAACAAAGTGGTTGATGCATTATCGCGAATGGCAGATTATCTGGGCGCGCTAGTTACTGAGTTTGGCACATCTGACAAACTCACTCGATCGCTGGTGGAAGCCTATCAAAAAAAATCCAGTTATGTATGAGATCATTCGTAAATTCAAAGAGAAGGACAAGTAACTTCTGATGAATTCACAATGGTAGATGGTTTGCTGTTTCTTGAGAAGGCTAGGAACAAAAGGTTATGTGTTCCTGATAGCGAGTCTTACGCAGTTTATTTTTAGGAGAATATCATGACGCAATTGGACATTTTGGTTATAAAAAGACATCAGCGAACTTAGAGAAAATGCAAGATGCCAAACGTTACGTCGAAACCTCCCACGTTTGTCAAAGAGAGTAACCAAGGACTAAGGCTCCACTTGGGCTGATCAAGCCCTTTCCGATTCCGGAAGGACTGAATCAGAGTGTATCCATGGATTTCATGGATACCCTTGTGACCGGCAGGTCCGGGAAAAGACACATATTTGTTATAGTGGACCGTTTTTCTAAGTATGCAAGACTTATCACTATGCCTGAAAATGCTAACACAGACTATGTCATCAAACTCTTCATGGACAACTGGGTATGCGACTTTGCTCTACCTACATCTATAGTGAGTGACAGGGAGTAAGATTCACAAGTGAGCTGAACAAATGGGGACAAAGCTCCAAATGACGTGAGGAAATCACCCTGAGTCAAATGGCCAAGCTGAACAGATGAACTGGGTAGTACAACACCTACTTAGGCTCTATATCAAGCCAAGTCAGGACGAATGGGACGAGAAATTACCTCTCGTCGCCAGCCTATACAATAACGTTGTGCACAGTGTGGGAGTAGCATGCGGCCAACTGTAATCGGCCTGTGTCTGGCCCACATCCCGTATCCAACCCAGGGCCTGCCTGTGACACATGCAAACAGGCTGCCCAGGGCGTAGGTTCTCTCAACCAACTGCCGATGCGCAACTCCTTGGATTTCCAGAGTTGCGTGCTGACCAAAATAGGGGCCCTCAGGCCCTCGTCAAGCCTGCCTTCACTTAGGGCGGCCGACGTGCGACCATGCAGGGCATGAAAGGGGCTCATCGGGGCGTAAGCCTCACACTAATATATATATATATGTATATATATATATATATATGAGTCGGTGAAACTCCGACGAAACAGTTTGTCACAGCCCCTCGTTTGTTGTCCTCTTCTCTCTCTCTGCCGACGGTTTACCGGGCAGTTCTGTTTGTGACGATATATATATATACCAGTGAAACTCCGACGAAACAGTTTGTCACAGCCCCTCGTTTGTTGTCCTCTTCTCTCTCTCTGCCTACGGTTTACCACGCAGTTCTGTTTGTGACGATATATATATATATATATATATATATCGGGAAAATTTTCGGAATGCCCCTGAAGTTTGCGTTTATTTGCGATTCGCCCCTCCGTCGGCCGACTTACCCCGATTTGCCCCTGGGGCCTCTGAACTTTCGAAAAGGCCCCTGTCAGTGAGGAGCACAACTTTTCGGAATGCCCCTACTGGTGGGCCGGTCCCATTTTCCGTGGTGGCTGTCCATTTTGCCCTTCTGCATTGGATGCATCTTCCAGGGATGCCCTCCAGCGGGGAGACCCTCAAAATTCGAATTCAAACTCCTTGATTTTTCGGGCCTCCGCGCAAAAAAATAAGGCTCCACTCCACGTTGTGTCCACTGCTTCAATTCACCACGGAGTTCATTCTTCTGGTACCGCGACCTGCTGCCGCCTTCGACGTCCTCGAAGAACGTTGCCGAAGGTGAGTGTTCCTCCCTTTCTTCCATACCTCTGTGTGTGTGTGTGTGTGTGTGTGAAAGATGTGGCGGTAGGAGGGTAATGTACAACCGTGAACATACCATTATAGGCGGTAGGAGTTGGCTTGACACAGCATGGAAATCTGGCACTGGTACCCATCGGCTCTCCAGTAGGGGCATACTGGAAATTTGGCACTGGTACCGGTAGGGGCATATGTAACATACTTCAGGCCCAATTGATGTAAGGGTTTTTTTGGAAACTTGAATCGTTGTCGGAGGGGCAAATCAGGGTAAGTCGGCCGTTGGAGGGGCAAATCGCAAATAAACGCGAACTTCAGGGGCATTTCAAAAATTTTCCCATAGTATCACTCTATTATTACTACTCTAGAACAGCTATAAGATCCATTGATTCGATTTTTGTTTCTAAATACCCAAAATAAAAAATCTTTTGTTTGATCTTATAGAAATTATTAATAGAATCAAATATTATATATATATATATATATCGTCAAATAGAACTGCCCGGTAAACCGTAGGCAGAGAGGGAGAAGAGGACAACAAACGAGGGGCTGTGACAAACTGTTTCGTCGGAGTTTCACCGACTCATCAGGAGGCTATATATATATCGTCAAATATATATATCAGCCTCCTGATGAGTCGGCGAAACTCCGACGAAACAGTTTGTAACAGTCCCTCGTTTGTTGTCCTCTTCTCCCTCCCTCTCTGCCTACGGTTTACCGGGCAGTTCTATATTTATATATATAATATTTATATAATATATATATATATATATATATACATATACAAACACAAGAAGAACAGAAAAAACATATGTTTTTTTTTTTTATGTATGTTTTTCTGTTTGTCCTTCTTCCTTACAACCCTCTCTTCCCCTCCCCCCCCGTGCAGAACCTCTCCGGTACAAGGTTGCCCACTTGGATGTAGGTTGAGCGTCGGCTCCTCGGTGATCCGTAGGCAGAGAGGGAGAAGAGGGCAACAAATGCAGGTGGCGACAAACTGTTTTTACGAGTTTCAGCTTCTCTTTCTGACGACTCGCTGAAACTCCGACAAAACAGTTATTACAGCGCCTCGTTTGTCGTCGTAACCTGCCTTCTCTGCGCACGGTTTGCTTGAGCAGCTCTGTCAGACAATCCCCTGTCGGCGCACCTTCAACATGCAGCTCTGTTGGACGACAACAGCACAGTAAGCGCCTCGCCACAGCAATGTCAAAACATCACGAAATTCGACAAATGTCAGGAGATTTTCGACATTCCCTCTTTCGACAGAAAACCCCTCTTCGCCACACAGCATGTAGAAGTGACACAACATGTAGAAGTGAAGAACTCACAAGTCCTGTGCACAAAAGACACAAACTGGGGTGAAGATAGGACAAGCGTTGGTGCCTTCTCTTTTTCAACATTCGGGCAAGAATTCGACATCCCATCTGAGGACTGTTGAAAATGTGCAAGTTGCAGACTGGGAAACGAGCCCGTCTTGAGAGGAGGTGTCGAAACCCTTTCCCTGACAGCTCCTCAATTTTTTGTGCATCTCGGATGTCGACATGCTGTGTGGCGAGGAGAAAATGTTGAAAAATCACTTTTCGACATTGGTGTGGGCCTCTCCCACACCAATGTCGAAAACTCATATTTCGACATTTTCTCCTCGACACACAGCATGTCGAAATCCGAGATGCAATACAGGGGTGCCAGTTCATGGCGCTAACAGCGCTCAGTCCCGCCGCTACCGGTGTCAGCTGGTCTAGCCGCTCACTGTCAGCCGCCATGGTTGACACGTGTGTTGTCGTGCACATGAAGCTCAGCTATGTCTGACTCTTACGTGCTGATAGGCTAGCCCTATGGTATCCACCAAGACCACGAATAATATACATTCCATCACTTACTTGACACAGATAAGCAAACTTGAGATCAGTTATTGCCCGAACGTCTTTTAGGGCACCAGGATTACCGAAAAGTTGCCTCTTACATCGCAGACAAGTCCGCGTGCAGTCAAAGGCGTTGGTGACGAAAACGTTTGTTGGGTGTCGGATCACAATGGAGCTGGGTGGAGCGCTACCGGGACCAACGGCCCCGACTCCTCCAATGGGTGGCGACATAGGTATGGTCGGAGCGGAGGTGGAAGCAACTACACCACGACCACATCTTGGGGCGGACGAGGATGCGGATATGCAGAACCGCTCTCCTCCTCCTTCGCAGACCAACTATTGGGTCGAGGAAGAACGAGAGACATGCTCTCTAAATGCTTTGACGCAGGTCTGCTGCCCTCTGGATGGATATACGAGAGATGAAGGAGGATGGGTTGAATGTCCATTTTACCTTGAACTCATCTTTGGATGAAATCAAGGTAAAATGGTTGAAGGAGAGGACGGTTACGGTAATCTTCCAGGAAGGCTCTAAGAACCTTCCGAAGAAGATTAAGGAGGATGTCATAAGGGCATATGAAAATATCTGGATGGGCGAAGCGAGGTTTGACCCTACAATTACCACAGGACGTGTTTGCATTGAATCGAGCAATGTTATCTCCTACGTGGCTAAGGATAGAAAGGTGGTGGAGTGGATGTTGGAGGAACAGGAGGCTAGGGTTTCACTTCGAGGAAGATGGTACTGCATCAGCTTTAAGCCTTGGATGACCAAGGTCGAGTTACAAGCGACGAGGAGTGATGCAGCAATAAACTATTTTTGGATACGGATTTCAGATGTGCCATTGGATGCCTACTGCTACCTTGAGTCAGCGGTAGAATTAGCAATCAAAACAGTTCAAAGGTTTACCCGTCGGAGCGGGATGCGCGTACGCCACGGTTAATTAATGTTAGAATGGATATTGCAGTGGAGTATCTGCCAAGGGTAAAAGAATCAATCTCGTTCACAACGTTTCAGGGTCAACTCATTGAGTTGAAAGTGGCTAACACAATTACACCCTGGTGTAGTACGTGTAGACACTATTTTCACCTGGCAGAGGATTGCACTCGTACCAGGTGTCGCCGAGCATCTAGCCCTGCACGGCACCAGAGTCCAACGCCAAGTGAAGCCTCAAGTGCAGCATCAAGCGAATCCTCCAGGGAGGCGGGTAGTCATCACTCTGTCCCGCCCAGTCCTCGCCCCAGCCTTGGTAGAAGTCGGAACTCGCCGTCAAGGCACTCGGCAAGATCGTCCATGGGAGCTAGGTCGCAGAAATCAGCATCAAGGAAGGTCTCATCCGGCTCAGATGACCGACGGAGTAAGAAGCCCACGTATAATGGGGCCTTGGGCCCTATGGGCAACAGAGGAACTTCTTCTCAAGGGCCTGTACAAGGGCTGCTCTTCAGAGAGAATCCGATTTTTTTGCCAGGTACTGAAAGATCCACAGGCAACTTGGATGGCACAACGCCGAAACAACGGGAGGTCTCGTCAGCTGTAATGGGGCGTTTGATGAAGGGAACAGAGGGAGCATCTTCCTCCTCCGCGGCCCAAGCAAAGCACAAGGACCAAGGTTCGAAGTCGGATGGATCGAGGATGGGGAACACTCTGACGAAACAACGTCGAAGGCTTAGTGATGATATGGGGGAACTCCGCATTCAAGAGACGGAGGAAGAACATTCCCCGTGGGAAGTACCAAGGCCACAAAATGGCGCTGGAGAGACCATCATCGGTAAAAGAAGCAGACAGCAAATAACGAGCTCGAAAGCCAGTGATCGAGAGTGGGCAAAGCACTTGTTACCGCTGCTGTTCGTTGCGACTCAGGAGGGGGTCTTTACTCTTGCCTGGGCAACTTCGCCTACGGTGACAACTCTCCCATCTCAGCCGCTAGCCAACCCTCCGCTGCCATTGGAGATTATGAACATCACACGCAGGATTTATGGTAGCGATATTGCGGTAAGAAATGTCCCTGATGTCCCTATCCCGAGGATTTTCGTTGATGTACCTGGCACGAGAGCCAAGCTTTTTACCCCTCTGATGGATGCTAGAATCTCTCTGGACGCCCTGGCGCGTTTAGTAGGACAAGGTCTTTGCCTTTTCCCGTTAGAATGGCTTGCTAAGGAAGACCACCCTAAGCTGTCAAAGATCAAAATTCTAGGGGATGTCGATGGACTGGCTTTGGGTAAGGTATGCACCAAGATACCCAAGTTGAGAGCTCTCTCGACTCCTGCCTTTTATAACTATTTCACAGAGCACTGGGATACGGGCATGCCAGCAACAGACGATCCCTCACCATCATGTTTACAGATTCCGTCGCTCCACATCCAATCAGGACAGGGTGCGGTAGGCAACAATGTATAAAATCAAGATTGCCTCTTGGAATGTGCGGGGTTTGGGAGATACAGGGAAGCGTAGTAAAAGAAGCAGGTTGAAGTCGTGGATCCACACGAACAAGATCCAGATTGTGTGTCTTCGAGAAATAAAATTAGACGAAGGCAAGATCACAAGCTTGGGGGCGTGGTGGGATGGACCCCAAATTTGGGTCCCTGCCACTGAATCAAGAGGTGGAGTGGCCATTTTGGTCCACCGCAACCTCGATGCAACAATAGAAGACTACGATCTTGACCAGACAGGAAAGTGGGTCTGGATTAAGTTTTCTACAGCGGGGAAGGAATGGGCCGTTGTCACGATTTATGCACCGGCGGAGAAGGTTGAAAGGACATAGTTTTTAGAAGGACTGTTGGACGTTCTTCCGGAAGTAGACAACATCATTATTACAGGTGATTGGAACGCGGCTCTGGATGACGCGAATCCGTTGTTTAGCTCTGGCAGGGCAGGGGATTTGGACGCAGTATTGTATACCATGTCTGAATTGGATCTTGTTGATCCATACAGACAGACTAATCCCACCAACCCAGGCTACACATGGTATTCGTCACAAATCGAGTCTGGCCGCTGGATTGCTCCTCGTCGTCTGGACTATTTTCTAGTTGGTCGTACAATCTGGGGAAATACACTGGATTCTTCCACACAGCCTGGCCCATTCTCATATCATAACCCTCTCACACTGCATTACGTTTGGGGCGATGGTACGGAAAGGGATAGAGGTATTTTCAGATTGAATGACATGGTAATTAGGGACCTGGGAGTTAAGCAATGGGTGCCAGACCAAACAATGTTGTGGTTAGAAAAGAAGCAATGCTTCTCTTCTGACAACGAATGCATTGGTGGGACGAATTTATTTATTTTATGTCTGACATGCTCAGTGTTTTTTTGCGTATATGGGGGCTGCAAGACAATAACGAGGAGTCAGCTTTACAGAAAGTGGTAGTGGAGGCAGAACAGGTTATTGCTTTATTCCCCCCACGCTCACTAGAAGCGCACTGGTGGAGTAAGGAGAGAGCCGGTAGAATACAGCATTGGGATGATTTCCAAGTAATTAAATCTGAAAGATGGAAGGAAATCTTGACGGTTAAGGGTATTGAAACAGGGGACAGGATGACAAAGGCAATGTTCCAAAGGCTCCTCCCGCGGGCTCGGCATAAAGAGATGAAGACCTTACAACATCCTTTTGATAAGCAAGCTTCTGAGGCCAGCTCCTCAATTGGTATGTGCAGTTATGCAGAGTCCTACTTTCGTGATATCTTAACGTCAAGACGCAGCCAGACTGAGTTGGATACAGGACAAGCGCAATTAACGGACTTGTGGGATCTGGTCGGGGCGAGGTTGCCACATGAGGGATGTCTGGATCTGGACAGACCAGTCACGAAAGCAGAGATCAGCCAGGCAATGAAGGCCATGGCTAAAGGCAAAGCCCCGGGATCGGATGGAATGACGGTGGAGTTTTACTAGTCTTCCTGGTCAGGGGTGAGTGACGTGTTGCTGGAGACCTACAATCAAGTTCTTGTTGGCCATGGTTTGCCACCTAGTATGTGTCACGGAGTGATTACTCTTTTATACAAAAAAGGGGAGAGGGATGAGATCATAAATTGGAGACCTATCTCTGTGCTAAACGTATCTTATAAAATCTTAGCTAAGACATTAGCTAGAAGGCTAGCTAGGTACCTGCCTCAACTGATAGACCGCGATCAGGCTGCTTTCGTACAAGGTCGCTCAATTTTTGATAACATCATCACAGCGAGAGAAGTTCTTGAAATTGTGGAAGTCGAAGACATGCCCCTCTCAGTCTTGTTATTGGACTTGGAAAAAGCCTATGATAGGGTTAATTGGAGTTTTGTACTGACTACTTTACGGCACATGGGCTTTGGGGAGAATTTTTGTAGATGGGTGGTGGTACTCTACACACACTCCATGGCAATGGTAATGGTGAATGGTTTCCTGTCTGACAACTTTCACTTGTCTAGATCGCTGAGGCAGGGCTGCCCGTTGGCACCCCTGCTCTTCGTGTTACAACTGGAGGTAATCACTTCTAATATTAGACACTGACCAGAGATAGTGGGTCGTGCGCTAAGGCCAGGAGAATGCAAAGTCAAGGCTTTGGCCGATGACCTATTTGCGGTCTGCAGCAATGACCGTAGATCTCTTGGGGCACTCAAACAGTTGTTGGATGAATGCTCGTTGTTTTCAGAGGCCGCTGTGAACTGGCATAAGTCCGTCTATTTCCTCCCTCACTCAATGTCTATGTCACCGGATTGGGGAATGAAAAGGGTTAAAAGGGGTGATGCAGAACGGTTTCTGGGTGTGATGGTGGCCCTACAATCCTGTCAAGAGGAGCAGGAAGAAATTTTACAGAGCAGAATAGTGGCAAAAAGGAAGTCTTGGGGCTCGGCCTCTCACCTCTCACTTTTTGGTAGAGCCATGGTGGTTAACACTTCTTTGATGTCCCTGCTAAGCTACGTGGGTTCAGTCCGGTTGATGAGTACTTCTTTCATAACGCAAACCAAAAGACTCTCAACAAAATTCTTGTGGAAACCCAATGCGGAAGAAGAGGAAGGTTTCATCCCGAAAGTGGCTTGGGAACTAATTGCCCAGCCACGTGAAGAGGGGGGCCTTGGAATCAGGGACCCAGCAAGGCAGAACTATCTTCTGTTAGCTAGTTGGATCCTTAAAGCTGACAATGGGGAAGGCACTGAACACTGGATTCAATTGGGGGAGCATATTCTTGCTAGGGAATGGGAGCTAGATCGGGAAGAGGACGTCTGGTTATGTTTGCAGCTAGACTCTTTTCTCAACAGGAATGTCCGTTCAAAACTGTGGTCGGACATTATAAAGGCATGGAGAAGAGTCAAGCCTGATACTTGGATCAGTCCGGTGACAAGGGAGGAAGTACTCAACCAGCCTATATTTGATAATCCATCGGTGCTCGACTCAGAGGGTAATCAGTTCAGAGCCAATAAGTCGCCGGGCTCATTTGGAGACGCGTGGATCAGAAAGGGGGTGATTCGCATCCGGGATCTCTGGGATCCCCTGATCAGAGATTGGTACTCAGAAGAGGCCCTCCGCAGTAGACTGTCAGACTTTCATTGTGTAGGAGAGAAAAGAGGTAAGTTAATTCAGGCGATCCCCTTGGCTTGGAAGTATCTGCTGGAACCAGGTGTGGTTGACCCGCCAGGTACCTGGTATATTACCAGGAACCCCCCATCACATGTGGAATATTGGAAGCTGATATCTTACACTGTGGAAGGGGACCAGAATTTCCAAAAGTGGGAGAAATTGGAGGGCACACAACAGTTGATTCAGGTATCTGAAACTCCCTCGAAGTCATGGGCACCGAACCTGAAACAGGTTAGAGTGCAAGAGCTTTGTGGAAAGGAAGATAAAATTACGGCCTTTTCCCCGCTGGACCAGTCAATTGCCGATCGCAACCTGGATCCAGCTGCATGGGGATGGAGAGGTCTAGGTCAGCATGGCTCTATTCTTCAGCTGGATCAGATGAAGTCCACCTCTGACCTCTTGCTCCCAGTCAGACGCCCAGTGGTTGTAGCGGCAGAAAGGTGGGAAAATGTTCTGACGGGATATGGTGATAAGGTTTTGACAAAGATTAAAGGACTGTGGGCGCAACTTAAGATTTTACCTTCGCAAAGGCACGCGGCAATTTTATGGCAGCTGTCGTTGCTTGTTACACCTTCTGCTATTTGGCTAGCAGGGAAAGGGCTGACGATTCATCTATCTTGCAAGCGATGTGTATGGCCGTTTGAGTCTACTTGTTGCATACCGTATAGGTGCAGACCAGAACAAGAACCGACCTTTCAATACAAAGTATAAAATAGCACAGCGGAAGACTTAGATACCAATGATCCGAACAATCAATATTGCAATGCAGCCCCAAACATACATCATCATCCTCATTCCATGGTGTGAAGGGGTCTGGCGCTTCACACAGGAAGACTGCGCCAACCCCAACCATACACAGACGAAGGAGATGGGGGTTAGACGAAGAAGAGGGGAAGATGGGAATGTCGTCAACACCAAGTGTTCAGCACAGGCCCAAA